AAAATCCTGGTCACTTTGCCAGTGAGTCTGTGAGGCCACTGCCTCTTTTTTCTGGCTGACAGGAGAGGGCTTCCTGGTCTTACGTGCAGAGTATTCTAGGGCCTCTCAGCCACTGCCTGATGGGATCTGCATAGGGGATTATTGATGAAGGCAAGGTGAGGCAGCTCTTTACAGTAACACATGCCTCGCTCTGGGACGGCGGCCAGGCAGCTAATTAGAGAGCCCAGCAGCTGTCCAGCCTTTCAGGCAGCGAGCAGCAGCTACTGAGTGCCGGAGGTGGGAATGGGAGGAAAGGGACATGGGACCAGAGACCACCCTCCAAGGTGGTGGAGTTGGGTGGTCAGGGTTTGCTCAGAGGGGGATTTTGAGAGGGGCATGTGAGATAGAGTGGGCTATACAGGGAGAAGGAACGGGGAGAGGAGAGGGACAAGACAGGTGGTCTCCAAGTGAGACAGAAGAGATGTCAGGCAGACAATGCAGCTTCCAAGCTCAGAGCAAGGGGCACAGAGGGGAAGGACAGGGCCCGGTGGGGTTGGGGCCTGGCTCCCATCTCCACACACCTTCCCCATGCCAGGCAGGCCCCCATGGCCTGGGCCTCTCCTTGCTTCCCAGGGGAGCTGGACAGACACAGGCTTTCCCCTCAGGGGATCTGTAATACTGATTGCTTTTGTAGTTGAGCTTGGCCCCTCCTCGGTGTAGGAAGTTACCAGATCCATTTGTGCTCAGGGCTTTTCTTACTCTAGGATAAGTAAAAGTGGCTGTTCTGAGTCATGTGGGAAGAACTGGGGGCTTTGAGTAACCAGAGGGTTCCCCAGTGGGCCTTTAGGCATCTTCTCTACTTTGTGGGCACCTGGGTCAGAGTGTGGTGTAATAAGAAATGTATTCGGTCTTTGTCCCAGGTCCTGGTCATAGAGCTCCTAAAACCCTTGACATTTCCTGAGTGAAAGGAATGCCTTTTGTTATTCATAATAAGCACCTTTGATAACACCTGAGTTTGTGCTAATGAAGTTACTGGGGAAGTGGTGGGGTGGTGGAGGGGCTATACAGCCTCAGGATGGAGCCAGTCACCAGAAAGACCAAATGCTTAGAGGATTGAGGATTAGAACATTTGACCCCACCATCCAACCTCCAAGAAAGGTGTGGGAGGGTGGAGATCAAGCTACATAAAAACTCCTGAACAAGATTTGATAGGTTTCTGGGTGGCTGAACATGTGGCTGTGCTGGTGGATGGCCGCCAATACATCACCCTATCCATGTCTGCATCTGGCTGTTCATCTGCACCCTTTATAATAAATCAGTAAAGGTAAGTGTTTCCCCGCGTTCTGTGAGCCATCCTAGCAAATTAATAGAACCCACGGAGGGGGTCAACCTGGTTTGTAGCCAATTGGTCAGAAGTGTAGGTGATGATTTACTGTGTGTGACTGGCCTCTGAAGTGGGGGCAATCTTGTGGGACTGAGCCCTCAAAATGTGGGGTCCACTGCTATCTCGGGATAGACAGCATCAAAGTTTAAATGAACTGCAGGAGACCCAGCTGGTGTCCGCTGGAGAACTGTTTGGGGTGGGGGACCCCCTCCATGCCCACCCCATATCTGGTCATAGAAGTGTTCTGCTTTGAGTGTGAGAGCAGAAGGAAAAACACTTTTTTTGCTTTATAGGGAGATTTGGGGAGGGTTAAGGAAAAGGAGAGTGGGGGTAAGAAAACAGAGGTAGTGTTTGCCTGCATACTTTCTGTCTCCAGTGTTAGGTTCCAGGCCAAGGAGATGATGAGGGGCCAGGGAGAGAGATCTGGTTTTTAGGTTCCGGTCAGAGAAGCAGAGACTCAATCCTGCAAGTCCAGCTTACCTTAAATAGTTATAGGAAAGGAGAGAAAATGATGCAAAGGGAATTTCCTGCCAGTAGCCTCTTTGGGAAGTGAATCCTACGTGCATGAAAACTGATGTGGGTTTTGAGAGTGCCAGCACATTGTAGAAATAACAGAACAGGAGTTGTTATTCTCTGACCTGAACCTGCGCTTGGCCCCTTGCCCATGTAGGAGCCTGCAGTATCTCCCCTGATGCCTGGGACAGTCTGTTCCTGCCCCAGTCTTCCTTGCGTGATGTTGGACATGTCTTCTGCGTTGTGCAAACCTAGACTGCCCACTCTGCCTCTCTTCATTCTCTGGTGGTGCAATGACTCCTGGAGATGGGAGAAAGGAAAGTGAGCACCCTCCTTGCTTCCTTCACCTGCAGAGACAGCCTTGCCTGTGGTAAACTGACATGTATGGCGCTTTGTGGGAGACAACCCATCTGTGATGGTGACCCAGAAATTAGAGAAAAACACAAGACATTGCTATGTTTGATTAGTAACACTAGATGTTTCAGTTGCCCAAGAATTTAGATGTAGCTGGGCCCTTCTTCACCTTGCCTGTCCATCCATCCAGTAGAAATTTTATGATCTCAAGGAATTCATAGTGTGGTGGGGGAAATAGACACAAAGAAATAATTTTAAGATGGGACGACATGTTTCAGTTGAAGGATGGTCAGATCCCCCTGGGAACATCAGTGATGGAATGACCTGGAGGCTGTGGGATGGCATCGCAAAGGAGTGAGGAGGGAGCAGGGTCTGGAAGAAGGAGTCAGAATGGTGGCTGCAGAGGAGGGCAGGAGAGATGACAGGGCTTGAAACAGGCCGGTGGTCTCTGCTTCTTCATGCTCCCAGCAGTGTCTCAGGCATATTTACGAGAAGCTGCATGGACAAACTCAGCTGTAAGTTTGCAAAATAAGCAGCTTATTTGGAACGGACTAAGTAGATTACACGGACTTGAAGACCCTTGCGTGCAGACATGTGCCTTAAGGATGAGATTTGGGTGGGAAGCAGTTCCAAGGCACGTCGTATGGGGACAGGGTGATTCTGGAGGCTGAGGACTGGGATTTGAATCAAATGTTTGGATATGGCCAAATCTCTTACTGTTCTGAACCCTCTGTGTTTTCATTTCTAAAATAGAGGTGACCATTTCTGCCCTCCTTGCCCCACAGGAGCCTGAGAAAATCATGAGAGAGGATCTAAGTTCCATCCATATGTTAGTTCCTATAAAGGCTCATCATTCATTCATATGCTCCAAGAACCTCTGGTTCAGGTACTGCAGTCCTCAAAGGAGCCTCATGTCCTCTGTCCCCTGGGACCTACTCTTGGGGGATAGGGATTGTCAGTGAGGCCTAGGGACAGCTTATGCACTTGGAGGAAGAGGTGCGACCCCTGTAGCACCATCATCTCTTCCTCCCTGCAACTAAGTTTTTCCTGGGGAAAAAGCCTGCCAATCAGGAAGCGGGAGGTGTCTGGTGGGACGCTGCCCCGAAAAGGAGTCTGTTCTGAGTGCTGGGGCTTCATGTGCCAGGGCTGCACCCCAGCAGGCAGTGGGCTTCCAAAGCTGGCTGCAGCAACCCTCAGGCTGTGCCGGCAGGATGTGGTCTTTGGTTTCTGTTTCTGTTTTAGTTCTGACTTGTGCCGTGGATGTGGCTGAGGGCCTAGGGTAGGGGAAGTCGCCACAGGTGGGATTGAACTCTCCAGGCACATGGTCCTTGTGGTGCTGGTGGAGAGGGAGTCCCAGAGGGTTCGGACATGCCCCGTTAAAGCCTTTTCCTCAAGGTGATAGGTACGTGCCAAGGTGACCCCTTCCACCATCCGGCAGGCTGGGAAAAGTGGGAAAGATGGACAGGTTGGGGAGGGTTGGAGGGTCCTGTTTGTGAAGGAGCTGGGGGGTCGGGGGAAGGCAAGGCTGAGTACAGCAGCCCACTGTGATGCTCTCAGTGCAGAGGCCCCGAGGGGAGACCTAGGGGAGGCACCCCCCAAAACCACACCATACAGTGAGTTTCAGGTCCCCCATTCCTGCGCTTTCACTTCTCCTCGGCTGCCTGGCTGCCTCACAGGTTGTCAGCTTGAGCAAGGGCCCAAGTGGCGTCTACTCAGAGAGCCTGGGGGTCAGAGGGGAGGGAGGAAGGTGGACATGGGCATCAGCACAGGCCAGCGCCTCTGGTCCATCCTGCCTGGTCATCCACGGGGGAGTGCCAGCTCCCACCCCTAGCCACGTACTGTTCTCAACTTCTGAGCGGCTGGGCTGTCCCAGAGGGCCATGCTGGGCCTGAGTGCTGTCCTTGGGCATATGCAGATGGTGCTTTATCCAGGGGGTTTTCAGGGAAGCTTTAGCACTTTCATATTAAAACAAAAAATGTTGGAATCTCCATTAAATAGTCAAGTCTTAGGGATAGTATTAAAAATTTGTACATGGCTGGCCAGGCACAGTGGCTCATGCCTATAATCCTAGCACTTTGGGAGACTGAGGTGGGAGAGTTGGCCAAGAGTTTGAGACCAGCCTGGTCAACATAGCAAGACCTGTCTCTATTTGATTTTTTTTTTTAAGTACATGGCAAAGGGCATTATAAAGTAAGATTTGTATTAGCTTGTAGCCGGCTACTGATGTTCATAGGAAGGGCCTCAACCAAAATAATAAAATGAGATGAATAAATATTGGAGAGGTAGAATTGTACATAGAAAGATTTAGCACACATTTTGTTTTTCTGCATGTGCGGTTGTTCTCTGCTTTCAAAATGCTGAAACAGATGTCCTACATTGTCTGCCTTCCATGAGGTTCTGACCGCCCTTGAGAACAGATGTACCCACTACAGGGTGAAGGTGAGAATGTAATTTGAAGCTGAATGAGGATGTAACTGGATTCTAAAATTATAGCTCCTCTCAGATTCACAAGTGTGCACACATTCAGGCAAGAAGCCCTAAGTCCTAACCCCCGACATGTGGATTGTCCAGGACCATCCCAGACTCTTGTGGCTGGATTAATCAGACCTGAGCAAACTGGATGCAGAGAGGAGGGGGCAGGAGAGGGCCTTGGTGGCCAAGGTGGGGATGAGTGTCTGGTGCTGACCCCAGAGCCCAGGTCCTTGCAGTGTTTGCCTTGGATCTGCTGGGGGCAGTCTGAGCTGATAAAGGCCTCCTCTTTTATTCCCAGGGACACATGGAAGCTGCCAGCCCCCCAGCCAAGGATCACCTGAGTCCTAGGGCTGATGCTTGCCTACGTTGCTGAGAATGGCACTGAGGCCCAGCCAACAAAGGTTATCCTGGGACACTCCTGGACAAAGATCCTGATGTCTGTTGTGAGCTGCACACTCAAGGGTGTGATAAGTGAGTATGTTACAAGCACCCAGGGGATCACCAGCCCAGTGATCCTGCCTGCTCAGCACCTCATCAGCATGGGCACAAGTCTGGAGGTTCTAGTTCTGAGTCTGTTCCCCATCCAAGGTCCTGTCACAGGGCTGCAGTTCTGCAATGGGAGGGGAATGTCAAGCAATATTGGGCCATCACATGCTGGAGCCGTCTTATGGCCACATGGCCTCTAAAAGCCAGGCCAGACCCAGTGTGTTAGTTTGTTTTCATGCTGCTGATAAAGACATACCTAAGGCTGGAAAATTTATATAGAAAAAGAGGGTTAATTCCAAGTGTCTGGGGAAGCCTGAGAATCATGGTGGAAGGCAAGGGGGAGCAAGTCACATCTTACATGGATGATGGCACGCAAAGAGAGAGAGCTTGTGCAGGGAAACTCCCTCTTATAGAACCATCAGATTGGCCTGTAATCCCAGCACTTTGAGAGGCCAAGGTGGGCAGATCACAAGGTCAAGAGATTGAGACCATCCTGGCCAACATGGTGAAACCCCATCTCTACTAAAAATACAAAAATTAGCTGGGCGTGGTGGCATGCACCTGTGGTCCCAGCTACTCGGGAGGCTGAGGCAGGAGAATGGCTTGAACCTGGGAGGCGGAGGTTGCAGTGAGCCGAGATCATGCCATTGCACCCCAGCCTGGCAACAGAGCAAGACTACAAAACGAAAACCCATCAGATCTCATGAGACTTATTCACTATCACGAGAACAGCATGAGAAAGACCTGGCCCCATGATTCAATTACCTCCCACCCAGTTCCTCCCACAACATGTGGGAATTCAAGATGAGATTTGGGGTGGGGACACAGCCAAACCATATCTTTCAGATTTGCTGGCGTGAGTGAAGTGAGCACCCACACCTGGGAAACAGCATCTACTTTGGCCGTCAGGCTTCAGATCTGTGCAGTGAGGACCGTGCATCACCTGGGACTGGACTCTGCCCAGAAGCCATGAGCAACCCATGTGGTGCTGGTCTAGGAGGCCTGGAGTAGGGCATCCAGGGCCCTGGGAGGTGGGGAGATTTGTGAGCCTTAGTTGCCATAAGAGTGACCACCAGGGGATCTGGAGAAGCAGGTCCTCTTGTTTTTGCCACATGTCAGCAGCAGCATCTCCTCCTCAGCAAGACAAGCTCGAGGTAGGGCGAGAGGCTCCTAACTGCACAGCCCTGCCTGTCCTTACAGGCCTTTCTTTCCAGCCTCAGCCCCTGGCTTTTCCTTAATTATGATGCCTTAAAAAATGACAATTGGCTGCTTTCCCAACCCCCAGAGGCCTGTCTGGCCTGAAGGCTGTTATGTCTATGCAGGGCCTGTAGCCTGGTGGGATCAGAGACCTGCAGGAAGGAAGTTCCCCAGAAGGCATGGCAGGCAGAGCTGGGCTTTTGCAATCTTGAAGAGACAAGCTTTTTTAGGAGTTCCTAGGCTGGTCCATGGGAGCCCAGAGCTTCAGATTCCATGCAGGAATTTGCAGGGAGTAGAAAAGGAGTAATCAGGTCTTTCTCCACTTTAGGTAGATCTTGACTCTCCTAGTTGAGAGTTTATAATTCAGGGCCAGAATCTGTTTTCCACTCAGCCTGGGCTTGCAAAGTCAGTTTGACTGGAGTGTTTTTCAGGAAGTGTGTTCTTGAGTTGATTTGTAGCCAGGGTGGTGTGAGCAAGCCTAGACTGTAGAAGTGGGGTTGGAGGTAGAGAGATGGCCATGGATGCCTCTGTGGGAGCGTGATGACTCAGATGGGAGACACATCTCCCCACAGCAATTTACACCATCAGCCTTAAGGCTGTTGTACCATTTGGTTCAGTGATTCCCCTTCTGGAATTATCCATTAAGAAATCTTATTAGGAAATATTACCAGAGAAGAAAAGGACTAAATTCTTCCATTACAGGCATTAAAAGTAATTCTCGTTATATCATCTGCAGTAGTAGAATGGGAAACAGTTGTTTCCTTTGGACATCTAGGTTAAGTAAATTACAGTTTTCCACTTGCTGGAATATTACACAGCCATTATAATCACGAGCACAGAGGCTATATAACAACTTGGAAAAATAGTTATGACAAGTAAAAATGGCAGGTTGCAGAATAAGTATATTATGGTGACTTGTAAAATACACACATAGGAAAATATTGCAAAGGAGAAATGATAATCTCTGTTAGCCTGGAATTATGAATGCTTTTTCTTTATTAGAAATGAGGTCTCACTATGTTGCCCAGGCTGGTCTCAAACTCCTGGGCTCAAGCAGTCCTCCCGCCTCAGCCTCCCAAAATGCTGGGATTACAGGTGTGAGCCACCATGCCTGGCCTATGAATGCTTTCTCTATGATGCATGGATTGGCTTTTTAAAAAATAAAATTGAATCTGGATTACTACACAACATACCATTAATAGTGACTTTCTCTAAGATGTGTGATTACAGGGAACTTTTGCTTTCTATGTCATTCTGTAATGTTTAAATTTCAGCACATGTTGCTTTAATCAGAAAAAAATTAAATGCGAGAATTAAACATTTTATAAGGCTATATTTCTCAAGAAAGGAGGGAAGAGAGACTGAGGCAGCTAGTGTTTATACTTGCCCTCATCAGTGTTTAAGGGCCTGGGCCTTTTTGGGCCCATTCATCCATCCGTTCATTCCACAAGTATTACTAGGTATTATTGCCAGGCACCACTCTAGGCACTGATTACACAGCAGTGAACACGACAGTGCCCCTGCCCTCATGAAGCTTTCATTCTAGTTGAGGAGAGACAGACCATAAATAAGAAGCAACATATCAGAAAGTGAAAGTGCTATGTAGAAAATAAAGTGGAATGATGTGAGTGACAGAGAGGCTATTTTGGACTGGGGAATCAAAAGTCCCTGAGATGTGACAGCTGAGCTGAGATCTGAATGGTAACAGCAAGGCAGCCACATACAGGTCTGGGATGTCAGCCTGCCGGCTCCCCCGTGCAGGGCGCCCTTTGCTTCCTGAGCCCCAGGGACCTCTGTGCCAGAACTGACTCCATCCCCTAAGCCCACTCACCCTGCCCTGCCTCCTGCTGGGGTTTGCTTGGGATCTGAGCCCCCCTAAAATCCTCTGTGTTTGGACCGTTGCTCCTGACATGCTGACTGTTGCTCCTCTGGGCAGCTGGCCCTGCTCTTGGCTGGTGAGATGCTCTTAGTGAGCAGGGCTCTGAAAGCCAGCTCCCCTTCCCCTTCCCCATCACCTGTTCACTTGGAGGGGTAGTTCTCCACGGCAGGGCTGGGCCATCTGAGACTCCCAGGAGCACTGGGGTGGGCTGGCAGTCAGGGGGCCTCTGGGTTGTGTGTCCTGGTGAGGGGCCTTTGAGTGGCGCATGCCTTGAGGCCTGAGGGTTGGTTACTGTCACGGTCCTGTGACTGTCAGCTTTGACCCTAGAGGGCCTCTGTGTGGATCCTGAGGAACAGGCTGGGAGCCGTTAGGAGCTCTGACGCTCAGTTGGGATGTTTGTTAATGATCTACCTGGAAGTTCACAGCCTTCTCCTTACTTCCTGTTGTCTCTCCACATACCATCCCAGCCTTCCAGAAGCAGGAACTCAGAAAATGGTGGTGCCCTCAGAGGAGCCTGTAGTCAGCCTCGGGGGCAGTGCAGTGTGCTGATTAGGAGCAAAGACTCTGGAGCCCGATTTGTGGGGTTTGAATCCCAGACTTGCCTTTTATAGTTATTAGAATGTAGGCTCAGCCAGGCGTGGTGGCTCATGCCTATAATCCCAGCAGTTTGGGAGGCCCAGGCAGGCAGATCACTTGAGGTCAGGAGTTGGAGACCAGCCTGGTCAACGTGGTGAAGCCCCATCTCTACTAAAAATACAAAAATAGCGGGGGGGGGGGGGTGGGGGGGGGGGGGGGGGGGGGGGGGAGGGATGAAGGGGGAAGGGAACTCTAAAAAAAAAAAAAAAATACAAAAATTAGCTGGGTGTGGGGGCGCTCCCTGTAGTCCCAGCTACTCGGGAGGCCGAGGCATGAGAATCGCTTGAACCGGGGTGACAGAGGTTGCAGTGAGCCAAGTTCATGCCACTGCACTCCAGCCTGGGTAACAGAGTGAGACTCCATCTAAAAAAAAAATGTAGTCTCTTTCTGCCTCACTTTCCCCATCTGTAAAATGGGCTTGAGGATTTTTTTCAGTTAATACATGGAAATACTTAGAAGAGTACCTGGTTATTATTATCACTGTGACTTGGGAGGTGGAGGGAGGACTTTGTCAAGGCCTGCAGTATCACTGATCCCAGGGGCTTTCCTGGGTGGGTGCCCACAGCAAGAGGGTGGAAATCTGCGGCATATGCACCAGCCAGTGGCTACAGGAGTTTCCCTCCACTTGCTTCCCTTCTGGCCCTGAGCAAGCCCTGCTTTCCTCCCTGCTAACTTGATGACCACAGGGGAAGTTCAGGGAAGTTTCTGCCCTTTCCTCATTGAAGCCACTCACCTTCAGTACAGAGCCACCCAGGGGTTCCTGAAGCTGTCCCCCACTGCCTTGCCCTCAGGGGCCTCCTAGAAGGGCTGTGGGTCTCCCCAGAACATGGAACTGTAGTGATGGGCATCCCTGGGGCTAGGGAGTGAAGCTTGGGAAGTGAGTGGGGTGAAAACGGAAGGCCTTCTCAGGCCGGTTGCATGGAAGGGGAATCCCGATTTTCTGGCCAGATGCTTCTCTGGACAAAATTCCCAGAATCATTGTGTTGTGGCACCTTAGGCCCCTGAAACAAGATGGGAGTTTTTGACAAAACCAAGGGCAGTTATTCCATCTGGTTTTGCCTTCAGCCTGTCTTAGACTTTTATGGCAGCCTCTTTACCCCTCTGAACTGCTGGCCGTGTCCCCTGCCACCCTGTGGAACAGCAGGCTTGGAGAGCAGCCAGTGAGATGCTCTTAGTGAGCAGGGCTCTGAAAGCCAGCTCCCCTTCTTCTTCCCCATCACCTGTTCCCTTGGAGGGGTAGTTCCCAGCCCTCACAAGTCACCTTGAGTCCTGG